AAAATAAGAAAGGCATACAATGAGATAAGTTTACAGAGTCTCTGCAAGTTTTACAAAAAAAAGAGTCACTGGAATCAGAATTAGGATATAGAGAAGAAATAGGGAAAAGAAAGACAATAGAAGAAGACCTGAATAACCAATGGTGGTATTGGAGGCAACGAGCAAAATCTAGGTGGGATGCAATGGGTGATCAATCAACTTCCTTCTTCAAGAGTGTATAAAGTAGGAAATGCAAAGCTAAAATAAGATCTCTAAAGGATAAGAATGGCTAGTGGATGTCAGAGGACAAAGATCTCAAGGACTTGTTCTTAATTACTTCACAAACATGTTTCTTGATGCCACTTCTACACAAGGAGGAGAAGCTGAAATCTGATGGAAAACATGCCAATCATCTCTGTAGAACAAGCTGATATCTTATTAACTCCTTTCTCAGAAAAGGAAATAAAGAAGGCAGTTTTTGCTCTACACCCTTTGAAAACCCTAGGCCTTGATGGCACTCCCCCTTTGTTTCTCCAAGAGAATTGGGATGCTATAAAGCATGATATAATCTCTAGAGTGCAATATTTTTTCAGGAAGGGATACATGCTGAAAAAGCTAATTAGAACTTTCATCACACTTATCCCAAAGGTGGATCAGCCTACCAAGGTGGAGGAGTTCAGACCAATAAGCTTGTGTAACTCCTTATACAAAGTTATTTCGAAGTGCCTTGTTAACAGATTAAAAAGAATTATGCCCGACCTCATTGGAGACTTTCAAAATGCCTTTGTCCTAGGGAGAATAATGGCAGACAACTGCTACATAGCTCATGAAATTCTATCTCAAGTGAAAGCCAAGAAAAAAGGAAAGGTTTTTGAGGGCAACCTTAAGATTGATCTAAGCAAGGCCTATGATAGAGTAAGTTGGAGTTACATCATGCTGATTCTGAAGAAAATGAAGTCCCCCCAATGCTGGAAACAATGGATCTTTCAATGCATATCCACTGTCTTCTATGCTGTCCTGGTAAATGGAGAGCCAACATCCTTTATTGAGCCACAAGCTAGCTTGAGACAAGGGGATGCTATATCCCCCTACTTATTCATTCTGGTAATGGAAGTCTTGTCTAGAAAAATGAAGGCTTTGGAGGCACATAAAAATCTAAAAGGCGTAAAGGTTGCCAGACAAGCCCCCAGTTAGCCAGAAGACTGAAGCAAACACTAGATAGCTTCTGCAACGTGACAAGTGAAATGATCAACTTACAAAAACCAGTTGTTTTGTTCAGCCCCAACACCTAAAGATGGCACTGGGCCGGGCCAAAGCCCGACACGGCCCAACACGAAAAAAGCACGGCACAGTACTGTGCGTGTGGGCCGGGCCTGAGCCACTTTTATTTTGGAGAAGCACAATAAGGCACGACACGACCGGGCCCGGCACGACAAAGCATGCTAAAATCAATGCAATTTTGCTTAGGCACGCAAGTTCGGCACGGCTCGGCATGATGGCACGTGGGCCTAGGTAGTGCATGGGCCAACCTTTTGAAAACATAGGCCCGGCACGACGCGACACGAAACTCGTGGGCCAAACCATGGGTCGGGCCTAACTAACCCCAAAACATGTGGGCCTGGCACGAGGCACGACCCAGCACGGCCAAGAGCCATCTTTACCAACACCCCTCCGAGATTTGTGAGATTCTTATATAAGCTTTGAAAGTCATGAGCACAAAAGAGCTTAGAACATACCTAGGATGTCCAATGGACATAGATGGCAGAACAAATAACAAGCTGAATGAGCTGTTTACAAAGGTCAATAAGATAAGAAAATTTCTTCATGGAAATTCTCAAGTCTAAACCAAATAGGAAGGTTGATCTTGATCAACTATATCCTGGTAACAATGGCACAACACATCATGGCCATTTTATGGTACCCTAAGCAGGTGCTAAGAAAGCTGAACTCTTCTCCCTTAAATTTCTGGTGAAATGGGAACACAGATAGAAAAGGGATATGTTGGAGAAGGAAAGAAATCCTAACAACTCACAAAAGCACGGGAGGACTTGGTATAAGAGATATGGAGGCAATAAATACAGGGTGCTAGCTAAGCAAGGGTGGAGGTTCCATACAAACCCACAACTCTTAGCTAGCAGAATGTTTAGAGCAAAATATGGAGGAGATCTTGTGGAATTAGCACATGCAGGAAGAAAGAATACAAAAGGTTCATGGGCTGGTAAAAGTATCATCAAAGCTGTGACAAACCTAGGAGAAGGGATAGGCTTCAGGCTGGGATCTGGGAAGGAAATCAAAATAGAAGAAGATAAGTGGGTGGGAGATAGGATGATAAAAATGAAGCAAACCAACTACCTTAATAGACTAGTCTGGGTTTCTGACTTGATCTTGGCAAATAAAGAATGGAACATACCCCTTTTAAGGAAGAATTTCTTGGTAGAAGATGTCAAGGATATACTCTCAATTCATGTGCCAAAGAACGATGTGCATGACTCTCTGATTTGGATAAAAGAGAAGAAGGGAACTTTCAACTTCAGAGAAGCTTACTAGTCCCAAATGAAGGGCAGCTCACCATCACATGAACGCGATTTTTGGAAACTCTTTTGGAGGAGTGGGCTACTTCCTAAATTAAAAGTGTTTTGCTGGAAAATCATGCACAACAGTCTGCCAACTAAGGACAATCTAGAATAGAGAGGCATACTAACAGATACCTTGTGTGTTTTTTGTAGGGAAGAACAGGAATCAGCAAATCATCTATTGATGAATTGCAAACTGACTGTCAGAATTTGGAAGGCATCCTGGTTAGGATTCCAATCGAATACCCCAAATCACACAGCAATGTCAGATTGGATGAAAACTTCTTGGGATACCTTCTAAGAGAGGACAAATTATACAGCACAAGGATTGAATACTTTGTTAATATCCTTTGGGGAATCTGGTTACATAGGAATGGGATGATATTCAATGGAAATAGTTTTAATCCAACCACCATTCTACAGCTTGCTTCAACTCAGCAAAGGAGCAGAAATTGGAAGATGAACAACGAAGATGGAAGTTTGAAAAGGAAGGACGAAGAAGTACACAGATTCATCAATGTCTGCAAGTTGGGGGCACCGAAGGAATCTCATTTTAAATCCTATGTTGTTGATGCTGCATGGAAAGAGAACAAGAAAGGAAAGGGAATGAAGCGACTTGCAGCGGTAGCTTATGCAGAAGAGGAGGGAAAGCAGGCAAAGGAGAGAGCAACAAGAGTATGGGCTGGGTCAGCCCTCCAAGCTGAATGCTATGCAATATGGTCAGCTATAAAGAACAACCAAAGTGAAGCAAGAAATATGATCAATAAGACTGACTGCAATAATGCGATCAGCTGCATTAAGGAGCCAACAACAGCTAGCACAGACACCTTTCAAATCATCAGGGAAATCAGAGAAATGGCGAGCATGCTAGACTACCTTATTTGCATCAAAGTTGGAAGGGATCAAATTCAACGAGCACATGACCTGACAGTAGCTTGTAGAAGAGGTCTAATTAGCTAGTAACTCTTACCTTTGTAACCTTTGCCAAAAAAAAAAAAAAAAAAAAAAAAAAAAAAAGTGTTAAATAAAAAACATGAGCTGGCTTGTAGAAGAGGTCTAATTAGCTAGCAACTCTTACCTTTGTAACCTTTGCCCAAAAAAAAAAAAAAAAAAAAAAAAGTGTTAAATAAAAAACATGAGCTGGCAAAATAGGTAGATTAACAAAGTTTGTATCAACTGGGGCATCCTCGTATCAACTTTCCTCTTTCAAAGTTAAGATTCTTAAGAATAAAACTAATACGGCGTAGTCTGTAGTCGTACTAATGTATTATGTATCCCAATTAGAAATGTCAACGGATTGGATTTGAGTTGATTAGGGCTAAATTCGAATCCAATTCATTTAATAATCGAACCATGGACTTGGGTCTGAATTCGGATCCGAATCCAATAACCCAAGTCCGAGTCCGAATTCAACTCATATTTTAAGGTTTCGAACTTCGGTCCATTTATTCAGACATCCAGATAGATCCGAGAACCTTTTTTTTTTTAGAATAATATGTGATACACTTATAGTTGCTTGTATTGTTCTCTAATAATTTTTTTTACATCATATTAGTGCATAAAAAATTCGAAAAAAAAATAAAATTTAAAATCCAAACATAACGTAAGTAAATTATAATTTAGATTTGAACTAACAAATAAGAAATAGTCTTAAGATATAAATTGCTACTAGTTTATCCTCATACAACAACAAAGTAACTTTTATTATGTGTTCCTTCAAAAATAAAAATAAAAAAACTTATAATATGTCTTGCAATATGTAGTCGGACTCAGTAAGACTTTGTGCGGGATTTAAGTCCGATCCGCATCTGATTTGGATTCAGATTTATTTTGTTGGATTCGGATTCAGCCTATTTTAAACGGATTCAAATCGGATTTTTTTTTTCTTCTGATCGGATCGGATGAATCAAACTCGGATTGAATTGCGCTACGTAGTTCATTAAATTTCTTTTTGGCATTACGTAGTTCATTAATTAGCTATATGTATTCTTATTGGCCTTTCGTTTCCAAATACTGGACCAACAGATGTGGAAGTTCGGTGGATTTTATCGTCAATGATTTTCACTTTAATTTCTTGGAATTTAATTTGGAAAGTTGCTGTTCAAATTTAAGGACCACTCAAAAAAACAAAATAATTTAACACACTTTTTAAACGTCTTTTTCCTTAGATCATCTACTTGTCTTCATCTTTTTGGTTACTAGGTGCATATACGTAGTACGAGAGTACGAGACTGTGAGGTGTTAATGTATTCATGTACGAAGTATGTCCTTATTATTGCTCTTTTTTTTCACATTTTTGCTTAGATTACAGTCGATAACACCTTCCTATTTCCTTATCCAAGAGGTCAGGGATCGAAATCATGGCATACTCTATGGGCCTATGGCAATAAGGGAGCATCAGTATAATATGTGAATTGTTAGCCAAAGGCAACACTTTTTAACATAATATAGTCACCTTCAGGCTCTACGATGTCAACCAGTATTTATTTTTCGCCTTTTGAGGGACTAATGCCCCTAAAAAAAGGTTATTGTACATCCATTCACTCCTTTGAATGAGAATGCATGTTAATTTTACAATGGAAAGACAATATGAATGACAGGGCTACTGCTACATTAGATTTTACCCCAAACAGTGGCAGCATTCAAGCAATGGATGGAAAAAATTCAATCAAGCAGTGCACCTTGCGTCGAGCCATTTGATAATGTCATCAAAAACAGTGAAAATTACGTCATCAGGTTCACCTTCAAGAATGGAATGATAGCCTCCTTCATAGAGTTTCAAGGTTTTATCTTTGCTAGAAGCATTCTCATAGAGAAATTCGCTCACATTTGGATCTGTCACTTTGTCTCCTGCTCCATGAATGACCAACAATGGAGAACAGACCTGCAGTTTGAGTACGCCCTTGCAATGTTAATATTAGTTTCATCTAACTAGTATTGAAGGTCTTAATATATAGTCTAACCTTGTTGACATTTGACTCGATTTCACTTGTGACCTTCAAAATCTCCATAGCAGTCTTCAATCGCACACGATCAGAGTAACAGATCATGTTGTAGTAAGCCTAGTGAACGCAGAATTTAAAAATGATAATGTATTGATGGCTTATTGTATGTTTGTATGGTCTACTTAAATGGACGCTGAATCAGTTGGAAAACTTGGAATCATAATTTTCAATGGAGATCTATATGACTTAATTATGCAAAATGCTAGGACCCAAATGAGATTAAAGGAGAAATCAAAGACAAACCAGTTTCCTGTACTTCTCGTTTCTAAATGCAAGCTCTGCTAGGTCTTGGGTCGGAAAGAATTTGACTTCTGGAATAACATTTGAGAGGACATTCGCTGCTTTCAATAGCAAAGGAGGAGGCATAACTTCCTCTGCAACCTTAAAATTACATTAAAGGATCAGAGAGATCTTCAATTCAGAAATTAGAAAATGCCATATTCATAAAAAAAAAAATCACCATGACAACAATTCAGCTAATAAAAAATTAACGAATGGTCGTTCAGTTTGCTACTCCCTCTATGGCTATGTCACAATACATGCCCACATTAAAGCTCATGAACCTTAATTTGGTACAAACAAATTCAAAGTTCCTTACCATTCTTTTGGACAGAAAGGTTTACAGCCTTACAGGTGACTTAATCTTTTAAAATATACATTGAAATTTCGGAAGTCATTGAAGCTCATGAACCTAAGACCAATAATATAATCGAAGGAGAACAGTATTCCTCCTAATATAGCAGGAAATTATTTGATAAATTATGGTTAATTGGTTACTTCTACAATAACTTGACATACACAGAAATAAGTCATCTGCACAACATCCTGTTTGCATTCATAAGAGACTCATTCCAATTCGCAAGGACAGTCATATATTAAGACAAAGCTTTGGAGTTGCAAGGTTTATGATTATAGGTTCGCCAACTCATGCAAGGTTCACAGACTTCACACATGCAAAGTAATTGTAGTATTCAACAGCATGTTAAGACCGACAAAAAATTAACATTCTAGAGAACATGGAAAATGCAGCTTGAAACATAAACAGTTTATGTCAGGATCAAGCATGCTATTGAAACAAGCACAAATAGGTTGAAGTGTCTAGTTTCAGAGTTCAGCTCACAACTATAATGAAATTCATATAGGAGCAATTTGAGGTTAGCTTACCCTACACATTGGAGCAACAAGAATCATTCCATCCCATTGGTCAGGCTGTTTGAGATGGGTTTTCAATGCAACCGCACCACCCATGGACTGCCCAAATATAAAACGAGGCAGACCTTGCAACTCCGGCCTTCCTGTCATATCAAAACTGAATTACAGTCAGCTCATATTTTCAAACCAACAGCAGGGGAGAAAAGAAACAAGAATAATCATAAAACTAGCCACCCTAATATAACTCAACAGACCTTTGATTTTAGCATATTGTTCAATCACATTATCAACTAAATCTCCGAAATTCGAAATGTAACCATGCAATCCATCAGAAAGACCAAAGCCAGGATGATCCACAGCATATACTGCATACCCAGATCCTGCAATTCTTCTCGCAATACCTATAAACACGAAGTTCGTCTCAATAAACTTTAATACTTTGTAATACCAAAACCTATCTAAGCATCCGATATTTCTCATAATATAGCTCAAAACCCATATTACCTTCAAAGAGAAATGTGCAGGTATCACCATATCCATGACAAAAGCAAACAACACCTTTAATTTCATCTCCTTCTTTTGGCAACCAACTTTTACAAAAAATCTCCTGCCCTTTTGAATTTAATTCGTACCACTACATAATTGAATAAAAAGCATTTGCATTAATAACTCATATAATCAAACAAATATATTTAATTCATTATTTTCCCACTCTTAAGTTTGTTAATCCATTTTACAGATTCTTGTCGTACAACAAGTTTACTCTTGTATAAAAATAATACAAAAGGTGTATAGTATACAACAAATTTAATCGCCCCAAATCATATAAAAGTTACTTTCACAGACAGTTGATTTTTATGCAATTTGAGGTGACTAAACCTAATCAAAGACCCACATTTGTTTACAATTGAACCATTTTGTTTAAGAACATAAATTTCAGCTGAATAAATAAACTTCAACTAAACAAATCATGCAAGATTAACATAATTACTCCGTACCTCCTCTGTTCTGATCCCAGGAGGAGCAAGCTAACAAAGTAAAGCAAAAGTCAAACGTCAGTCAAAGTCAATGAACTTTCAAAAAGCACCTAAAAATGGCAATAATAGTAAAAAATTAATGGGTATAGAACTTAGCTAAATATAGAAAATGATAAAATTAACAAGAAAAAAAAACCTTGAATAAAACATGATCAATATTTTGATGGAAATCAATGAAAGCAGATCGGACTTGTCTACGAGCAGGAGCATGGTCAAGATTAAAGGACGCAAATTGATAAAGTTGATCACTTAAATCTTCAAGCCCTTTTTTCCTGTTTTTCTTACCCATTGATTTTAGATTAGGCCAGTTTTGTTTCTGAGTTGTTGCTTGTTGACATTTGATTAAAGGAAGTGAATGTTTAGGAGTAAAGTGGGTATTATTGAACAATGGTAAAGGAGAAGTGGATGATCGGAGTGTTAAGGAGAGAGAAAGTTTCATACTTGATAAATGGGGTTGGTGAAGAAAAGTCAGCTGAATATTTCCAGATTTGCAGGTGTAAAAAGCATTGTTTTTTGTTTTATTTTTGGTTAAGAGCAAGTGAATCAGTGATTTCAAATTGAATGTGTTTTAACGAGGATTGCAAATGTGGGTCTTGTAAATTGTACGCCCTCCTTCCCATAATACTTGATACAGTTATCACTACATATGAAAGTCTGTGTGATGCACAGTTTTTTCATATAAGATTTTTAATTATTTGATTTATTGTATTTGTTAATTTCAGACAAAATTATAAAGTTTAATATTTATTTTTATTTACTATAATTTATAATGAATTTATTAAATATAAATAAATTGTAAATATGATATTTTTTCCGTTATATAAAATCTTTATTGTGAAATGATAATTTTTTAATAATTTAAATCCTAGATCATTATTCATTGTTTCACCATATCTTTTATTTCGATAGAATTACCAACTCGACAACAACCAACCTACTACATCAATGGATAAATTGAACCGTGAAATGTTAGCCAAACTGAAATTGAGATAAATGAAATCTTTACATTTATATAAAATAAATCAATATATTTACCAATAAATGAAAAATTATTACGATATTAAATCAAATCTATGCATTGAAATTTTTTCATCATCTCCAAAAATAAACAAAGTCATCCATATATTAAGTATACAACATTTAATTGTATGCCATTACATAAACAAATAATCGTTAAGTATCCTAAATAAATACAATGTAACTAATAATTACAAATATATATTTAAACATAAGATTTTAAAAATCACCCGGACGTTGATGACTTAAAACTAACACAAAATTCGCTTGATGGGGTTTTGTATTGATATGAAATTTTATTTGTGTCGTATGATGTGTTAGATCTACATGTAAAAAAACATTTAGTAAATAAAACATAAACATATAATCGTTGAGTATCCCAAATTAATACAATGTAAGTAATAATTAGAAATACTAATTTAAACTTAGGATTTTAAAAATTAAGCTAAAAATTACTTGGCCATTGATGACCAAAAATTAACACAAAACTACTAACACAAAATTCGCTTGATGGGGTTTTTTATTGATACGAAATTTTGTTTGTGTCGTATGATGTATCAATTTATAATGGTAGGTATCACAAATTTTAATTTAATTATAATTAACGAACAATTTGTATTTCTTATCATAAATACTATCAAAATTTATCTTATAATGATAGGTATCAAACTTTATTATAAGCGTTTATCATTTAACTACTTTTTAGTACTTTTTTTGGATTTCTTATACTCGTAGTATTGAATTAATAAATTTATCTTTTCCTATATTTTTACTTTATTTTTTTCATTAAAATAATTTAATTCGTGGATTATAATAACGTGGCATTAAAATTTTAGATATATCAAATCTAATTCGTTACTTTTATCTAGGTGGTGACATAATTTTTTAATTCAAAAATAAAATACAAATCTTTCTTCTTATTGGTCGAAATAAGTATATTTCTTACGTGACGCTCCGAATGCTCTCCAAAAATGCCTACTTTATTTATATATAATAGATTTTCGTCTGTCCTGAAATACTTGACACGTTACTAAATATGCAATGGGACCACTAATAAAAAAATATTTTGCTATACTCTCTTTGGAACAACAAACCCCAAAACCCAATTAAATCCTACATTTTATCTCTCTTCATTACCTCCACCTCCCCCACTTTTTGTTTTCTTACAATATAAAAATAAAATTAATCCTTTATATAATAAACAAATATTTTAAATGGAATCACTTGTAGTTTTCTTAAATTACATGTCTGCCCCAACGCCCCAAGTATTATGGGACGGAGGGAGTAATCAGTAGATATTACATAAATTTGTAATTACAAAAACAAAAATAAAATTATATCAGTATTTGGCTATTTCCGACCCTTTTCCTTTAGTTTCTTTATGTTTTTGTTATTAAATTCAATAACTCTACCCTCTTTCAAGGTAGTAAGTATCCTTATAGTGGGTTTAAGTGTAGTAAGTGCCCCCTATGGTGGGCTTTGGTCTAGTTTTGTTTTTGTTTTTTGAGTTTAGTATGGTATAAGTTGTTTTATAGGTAAAGATTTGTGCGGGGTCGAAAAAGAGGTTAATCCTTCGATTACAATCAGATGAATTAGACGAAAAATTTTCTTCACGACTACAACAGATCGATAGACCCACTCGTAGAAGAAGGTTGTAAATCACAGCGATATAAAAGAGGGTATATATATTTGGCGCAAATTTTTAAAAATGGAGATGACTTATGTCATTTCTGATTTCACCTTTATTATAATATATAATAAAATATAGTTACAATTATAGATTTATGTGTTAAAGTCAATTTAATGCAATATAACGTAAAGATATATTTTTATTTATTTTTTAAATTTAGTACTATAAATTAAATCCATGTGATTGTAATTAATATATCAGAAAAAAATCATTTTAAGCAAATAATAGTAGTTTTAGAAATAAGAATCTTTAATTCTATAATAATATATAAATTAAACATACACGTAGTTAATTTTATTGTCTTAAATAAGTTGTCAATCAAAAAATTATAAAAAGAAAAATAAAGTTAGAATATATTTATTTTTGAGTTTTTGGAGGTAAAAAATGACACGAGGAAGTAACATGTCATTTCCGGTGTCTGTTTTAGTATTATGTTATTGATTTGGTTATTTCACGGGAATTAAGAAAGTTGTATATTCCTTAAAACTAATGATTGGGAGTACATATATGCATGTGGGGTAGAGGTGATCATTGGACGGGTCGGGCCGGGTTCGGGCCAAGCCGAGGCAAAAAAAACAACCCGCTTCTTGGGTCGGGCCAATAGCTTCGGGGCGGAATTTTTGTGCCCAAACCCCCCCAAAATGGTCGGGCCGTGCGTGCTTTTCGGGTCGGGTAAAAAAAAACTAAAAATGCATACTACCGTATTCCCAAACCCGTCCAAAAAAGTAAATTTCAGGTCGGGCCAAAAAAACTGCCCAAAACCCACTCAAAATCGGGGCGAGCTAACTTTGATCAGGTTTAATGTGGGGTTAGAGAGAGATAGAGAGAAAAAAAAAAGGTAGTTGATAATTATTGAAGAGAGAGAGAGAGATAAAGTGTTGGAAAACGATGTCAAAAGTACATACTCCCTCCGTTCCTATTTTTTTTTGCCCCATTTGACTTTCCACGGTCTTTAAAACGCGTTTTAAAATGTATATAACTTAATTTCTATACGCGTAAAAATTGTAAATACTTAATATTAATAAAATATACAATAAGACAAACCTAACAAGACCCCATATGATTATATTATCTCTTGTTGGTTAATGAGAATTTATGGTCAAAGTTTTTAAAGTTTGACCCATTTATTTGCAATAAGGCAAAAAAATGGGGACAAAGGGAGTAAAATAAAAGAAAAATGATGACTGTTGGCCTTGTTTGGTTGACATTATAAAATGGGAGAATTGGAAATTCATGGGAATTTATAAAGTGGGTAGTTGTTTGGTTGACATTAAAAAGCAAAAATAGGGGAAGTGGAAATTCATGAGAATTTCAACTTTTTACAAAACATGGGAAGTAAATTCCCCCCCCCCCCCCTCTGCCGTGGTAAACCAAAATTCATAGGTATTTCAATTTCCCTTATTGTCAACCAAACACATTTTAGAAATTCTTAGGAATTTCATTAAGGAATCAATTTACCATAAAGTATAAACTCTTATGGGAATTAAATTCCCACATCAACCAAACAATACCAAAGAGTGTTTTTGTCAAAAAGTACACTCCTTAAATAGAAATAGGCTACTAATTTTGGCAACCTAAAAATGGAATATAGGCCACTTATTTTGGCTACCTAAAAATGGAATGCAGGCCACTATAAAAGGGACGGAGGGAGTACTAGTATGTTCGTTTCTTTTACAAATTGTTTTTTTTTTTTGACAGCTTAGGCCCTGTTCTTTTGAGCTATTCTGCTCTGCTCTGTTGAGCCTTGCTAAAATTTGATCTGCTTAAAATTAGTAATAGTAATAATAATAATAACTAATATTTAAAGATAATAATTATTATTATTATTTACTAATAATAATAATTAACATCAACAACAACAACAACAGTAGTAATAATAATAACACCTGAAAAATTTAGAACAATAGTAGTAGGAAATTTTAGAAAATAACACCTGAAAAAACACAAAATTTTGATTATAACACCACAAAATTTCAAAGTTTTATTATAACACCAGTTAAGAAATTAAAATTTTGGTGTCACCACCTAAATGGTTACGATGTTAAGGGAACTGTTAGTTGGGCCCACTGCAACGTCTATTTTTTTCAAAATCTTTTATATAGTTACGATATCCTTCACAAACATTCAACTGTTGATCTGTTTACACAAAATTAGGGTTCAAAGTTTGCGAATTCAATAATCAAATTGCCAAATTGTTTGATTTAAGCATCATTGTTCGGGGGAGGAAGATTTGAAATCAGGTAATTGGGTCAATACCACTATAGAAAACCCTAATTTATCTTTCTTAAATGTTATATAAATCAATCTATGTTGTTGAATTAAGTGCATAATTCAGTTCGCATGTGTAAGTAATCATATAATTCGGACTTATTTCATGAAGTATTTGTGTTGATTGTCCTCATATTTGCGAAAAAATGAACTTAGGGTTCATCGCAAAAATAAATTGGGGGTTTTGATTTTTAGGACTGATTGTTTAATTTCCTTAGTTCATTTGTATGGTTTTTCATAGTAGGAATGGTTTTGCTTATTGTGGATGGCATATTGATGCAGGAGATGTCTTTCAGAAGTTCCTCTCCTTCAAGGGAGAAGAAGTGCAAGTATGGTGTTCCTTTTGTGAAGCTTACTAGTTGGACAAGGGAGAACCCTGGTCGGAAGTTCAGAACATGCAAATTCTATGATGTTGTAACTAAAAGCAGGGGTTGTAAAGCATTTGAATGGGTGGATGAACTTGATGGGACAGCCTGGCAAACAGAGGTGATCAACAATTTGTTGTTGGACAAGAAGCTGTTGAAGGGAGAAATTCCTGACTATAAAAGGGAAGTTGATGATCTTGGTGGACAGATGAGGTGTTTGCTTAATGAAGTGGACAGCCTAAAGATGAAATGCAAGGCTTTAAACTCAGACAGGAAGAAGATGAACAGAGAGATGCATGGAAGAAATGGAAGATCAGAGCACTCTATTCTGTGTGTTGCTTTTGGGATTAGTTTAATCATGTTAGTGATGGTAGTTATTGGGGGGTTTGTAATGCTTAAAGTATAATTTGTCCTATGGCATGAACATTAATAGTAATGCTTTTGTAATGGTTTATAAGTGGCAGTGAACCACTTTTGCAAACTAATGTACACATATTTTGGAAGGAATGATTTAAGCAAGTACCTTAAAATCTGATATTGCATTGAAGTGCATGAGGAAATTAGTTGCATTGCTTAAAAAAATAGGCTTTTAAAGCTTAACACCAATGTATTACTTTAACAAAATAGGCTCCTTTGGCCTAAAACCAAAACTATAAGTTGAAAATATTGCATGCTAATGTTCTAAATATCAACCTAAAACTCTAGTTTATAAAAACAGTAGCAAGATCACTGAGTCAAATTTGCATGTTTGAAAGTCTACAGCTTAGCTCTCCTTGTCTGCACTCCAGTCTGCTGAACTTTGTCTTTGTTTGTGGGTTTTGGTTGACTGGAAGAGGGGGTGCCTTGTTGACTTTGTGAGCCTTTCCTCTTACTCAGTGGTTCACAGCCTAGTTGCTCTTGGGGAAAAGTCTTGTTCCCAATGCTTTGGACCAGCCTCTACTGTACTCTGTGTTTTAAAGACAAATAAAAAAGAATAAACATACAATTGCATCACAAAATATAAAAAAAATGAATAAGTCCCAAAGATTACCTTATTAGCAGCTTTGATCTCACTCTTCTTCCTTCGCTCAACTACCTATGGTGAGTTTAAAGAGGGCCTTCCTACAGATCTTTGCTCAGTTGGTTCATGTACAGTTGGGATCTTGCAAGTCTTAGCATAGTGGCCAAATCCACCACAATTCCTACACTGATTCTTCCTTTTCTTTCCTCCCTGCTTCCCCCCTACTACAGATGTTCCCTCACCAGGCTCCGGCTTTATTTTCTTCAATTTTGGTCTTCCAGGTTGCACTTTGAAGGCTGGTGGCTGGGGCTCTCATGTTCACTCTCTCCCAGTGCTTTGGGCCTGGCATTAGTTGAATTGCAGGCTCATATGCTGCTCTGTAGCTGGTCATAGTGTAATAGGGGTGGACATATTGCTCAACATCACTTCTTTGATCCATTATGCATGCAAAGGCATGAACACATGGGATGCCTGTCAACTGCCAATGATTGCAAGAACAAGTCCCATTTCCCAAGTCAACTAGAACCTGGTCATCCTTCAGCTGTACTTTATAAGTGTCATCCCTGGCAGCTTGAATTATGCAATTCTTAGACACATAGCTTATCCTTTGAAACAACTTTCGAACATATGGAGTCAAGTTGCTTGTGATTTCCTTGGAGTCCTCCCACTTCGCATTGTTTCTCTTCATCATGTACCTCCTCATCCATTCCATTTAGGTCAGGATAGGTTTGTCTCTTGCATCTCTAATAACTAAATTGAAAGTCTCACACATGTTGTTTAGTAACATGTTGAGTAGTTGGGTAATCAATGGAAGGGGAGGGTAAACTAATTTCTAGGCCCCACACGCATTTTCCGTCACAAATTCTGTTATCTGGTGGTGAAACCAAAATTTTAATTTCTTAAGTGGTGTTATAATAAAACTTTGAATTTTTATGGTGGTATAATAAAAATTTTGTATTTTTTCAGGTGTTATTTTCTAAAATTTCCAAAATTATAATAATAATAACAATAATAATAATAATAGTAATAATAATAATAATAATAATAATAATAATAATGCCCGTTCGTGGGTCTTAATGGGTGTCAAGATGGCAGGGGTAATGGGCTCACTAAAACTTCTTTGATCCCTCATCTCCGTGACCGTCATTGTTGTGCGGATGCGCGGGATATGACCCGATGCTCTCTTGCTTCTAATCTGGCTATTTTCTTAGAGGCGGAGTCAACTTTTCGGCGTATGGGCATTTGGCTTTGTGGGGAGTGTTTCAAGACTCATACTTTTCGTACGAAGTGTCGACATGGTCGTGGTTCGGATGATATTGTGGACCCACCTGATTTGGGGGATGGTGTTGTTCGGTTTGTTCTTTATGGTTTTCCTAAACCTCAGGGTCTTTCTTCGGAGGTATCTGATCTTGTTTCTAGTGCGCCTCGTCAGCCTCTTTTGGCGTTCGATGTTGCTCTCCTGGATAGTTTGCTATCTAAGCGGTTCCGTTCGGTGAAATCTATTCCTCCAAAGTGTCGCTTGGGTTTTTCTCGGGTTCTCAAAGGAGCGCTTGATAAGGTGATTTGCAAGCCTGATGACGTCTCTTGTTGGGTTCAACTACTTGTGTTGCCTCTTTGTGTTCTTAAAACTTTTACCCCGAGGAGTAGTCGTGAGTGTTCTTCTGGTGTCCGGCGGCGGCGGCAGGAAGAGAGTATCACCGCTGCTATTCGTTCTTGGTGTGAGCCTGGTGGTTCTGTGCATCTTGTGCGAGATACGTTGGCAGATGTGTCTCCTCCTTTGTTGGAAGCTGATGATGAGCATGATTTGTCTGAGCGAAATATTAAGCAATGTAAGAGAAAGATTTGTGACGGACATTACACTGCTGCGGTTCGGGTTCTTTCGTCTTCTGGTCTTGCCCCTTACAATGATGCTACTCTTGCTGATTTACAAGCTAAGCACCCTTCCTTTCCGGCTCCTATCTTACCGGATATCCCCGTTGATCAGCCCCTTATTGCTACATCTGTTGTTGTTTTTGATCAAATTAGGGGTTTTCCGCGTGGTACGTCATGCGGTAGAGACGGCTTGCATGCTCAGCACCTTCTGGATTGCTTGAGTGGTGTTGCAGTTGCTATTTCAGATGAGTTGGTGGGCTCTATTACGCAGGTGGTTAATCTCTTTCTCGCAGGAAATTGTCCTGCTGAGTTGGGGGAGTATATTGCTAGTGCTCCTCTCATGCCACTTGTTAAGCCTGGTGGTGGTATTCGTCCTATTGCTGTGGGTACTGTTTGGCGGCGTCTGGTTTCAAAGGTTGGGGCTGCTTTAGTTGGTCCGCGTATGGGGAACTATTTAGGAGGTCTTCAGTTTGGTGTTGGGGTGCCGGCGGGTGGCGAGGCTATTCTTCATGCTGTTAATCGTTTGGTTGAGGCTCGAGGTGGTGATGTTGGCCTCTCTATGTTGCTGGTGGATTTCCGGAATGCCTTTAATTTGGTTGATCGTACGGCTTTACTGCGTGAGGTTCGTCTCCGTTGTCCAGCTCTTTCGCGTTGGGTTGAATTCTGTTACTCTACTCCAGCCAGGCTCTATTATGGGGAGCATACCTTAAGGTCATGTCAGGGTGTGCAGCAGGGTGATCCACTTGGCCCTTTGCTTTTTGCTTTGGTGCTCCATCCGTTGGTTTGTCAAATTAGGGATTCTTTTGACTTATGTTTGCAGGCTTGGTATTTGGATGATGGCACTATTATTGGTGACACCTTGGTGGTAGGGAAGGTTATGGAGTTGATTTTGGTGGAGGGACCTCGTCTTGGTCTCCATGTTAACGTTGAGAAAACGGAAGTTTTCTGGCCCACGGAGGACCCTCGTAGCCGTCTGGCCGGTGTCTTTCCTCCAGATATTGCTCGTCCTGCTCATGGTGTTAAGTTGCTTGGGGGTCCTGTCAGTGCGGATGCCTCTTTCTGTGGTGAGCTTGTTTCGCAGAGGGTGTCGAAGACCATTGTGCTCATGGATGCTGTTGCTAAGCTTGAGGATCCCCAATGTGAGTTATTACTTCTTCGTGCGTGTACTGGAGTTTCAAAACTCTACTTTTCTATGCGCACTTGTCCTCCTCGTCTTTTTGAAGCGGCCCAAATTTCTTTTGATGTGGCCCTTCGAGGTTCTGTGGAGCGCATTGTAACTGCTTCGGGGCCAGGTTTTGGTGATTGGCAATGGCGCCTTGCCACCTTACCTTTTTCTTATGGAGGACTGGGTGTCTATTCAGCGGGTGATGTTCGACACTATGCTTTCCTTGCGTCGCGTTTGCAGTCTTCTGGTCTACAGGCTTCGCTTCTTCGCAATTCTGGTATTGTTGGTCCAGGTCCGGCCTTCGACGACGCTCTTAGTCTTTTTAATAGGACTATGGAGACTGACCTTTTGCGTTACCCTGGTGAGATCGCTGCCCCCAAACTCATGAAGAAATTGGCAGATATATATTTCACGAAGGTCACTGCATCTGCAGAATCCACTTTCTCCTTGTCTCCGCGTCAGGTTGCCTTATGGAAGTCCCAGCAGGGGGATTACTCTTCTGCCTGGTTGCGAGCGGTCCCGATATCAGGTCTGGGTCAGACTATGAATGGTAAGACTTACCGTTGTGTTCTTTGCTACCGGTTGGGTGTTCCCTTGTTCTCCGTATCGGCACCTTGTTCTGCTTGCTCAAGAGTTTTTGATGGGGATATTTATGGGGATCATGCAGTGTCTTGTGCTGGGATGGTGGGTATTAAACATCGGCATAACGTTGTTCGTGATACCCTTGTTGATATTTGTTTCCGCTCTGGGATTTCTGCAAGGAAGGAGGTCAACGTTGGGTTAACTGGAGGGAACGACGGGGCTCTTCGGCCAGCAGATGTGTTGCTTAACTCCTGGGATAGAGGCCTAGATGTATGTGTTGACTTGACGGGGTCTTCTCCATTGACTCAATCTGGGTTGTCTGACTTCGTTCCTGGTCGTGTTATGTCGGCTGCGGCTCAGCGGAAGCGAGACAAGTATGAGGCGCGTTGCAGGGCTATTGGCTATGGTTTTCTTCCTTTCTCCTTTTCTTCATTGGGGGAATTAGAGAAGGATGCCGTTGCGTTGCTGAAGCGGGTTTAGGCGTTCGCTAGGACTCAGGATATTGGAGCTCGTGCGGCTGCTCACATCTTTAACAGGATTGGGTTCGCTATAGCTAGAGGGGTGGGGGCCCAGATTGTATCTCGGCTCCCCACTAATTTCTTGTAAATCTTTTGACTTTGTAGGTTTTTGTTATTTAATAATAATAATAATAATAATAATAATAATAATAATGGTGAAATCTGCTCTGCTCTGCTGACCCATGCTCTGCTCTGCGCTACTATGTCCAGAAGCTCAAAAGAACAGGGCCTTATTGTACTGTTAATGGGCAGTTTTAATTAGTAAAAATGTTTTACCACACGAGTTGTGGAGTTGGTGTGAGCACTCAGCACATCATCTAATTTAAGAAGATATCGATGGTATAGATTTGAAACACGTATGTTTGGTTTTGAATTGTGTTAAGAAGATTAAATATGTAAAGCTTTTGCATGAGTCAAATGTTAGAACATTTTAGCGGAAATAAAACACTCAAACAGGATAGACTGTAGATTTCTTCTAGACATGTAACATGTATGATAACAATGTAATATATTTGATTTCTTCTAGACAAAAGATATATTTTGTTTTGTTTAAAAAAAACATATCGTACATATGTTCATACCAAATATGCTTTATAAACTCTAATTTATGAAGTTTATATGAAGAACATTTAATAATCAAGCATTCCCGATTTCCCATTCACAACGCAAAATGTTCAAAGTTACTTGATAATGGCCAAATTTGAATCCTATACAGACCGGGAATTGCTACCATATCAGGCACGTATATTTAAATAAAAATTGAAATGATTGGAAAAATCTTAACTTTTTTTTTAAGAGAGAATAGCAAAATCTTAACTTGCGCGGCTGGAATTCGGGTCGGGTTGTGCCATAGTGGGCCATGTCAGCTCGGGTCGGATGAAGGGGTAGGCCATGCCGAGACAAGGTGATGGCAAGTCATGCCGTGTCGGGCAGTCAAATTACACACCCTACCCACGGCACGACCCACGTGCCTGGCGGGCTGTGCCATGCTGGGTCGTGGGCCAGCCCATTATTTTAAAAAAAATCGATTAATTATTAATTAAATAATTTTATTATTTTTATTTTTATTATTTATAGCTCTTTATATTATTATGTTTCTTTTCATTATTTTTATTTTCATTATTTATAATTCATTTTATTATACATGTTCTTTTTATTATTTATGTTCTTTTATTATTCTTATTTTTATTATTACAGTTCTTTATTATTTATGTTATTATTATTATTATTATTATTATTATTATTATTATTATTATTATAGTTTAGCAAATAGCAACCATGGATATAGTTAAAATATTTACGAGTACTACTTACGAGGATCTAAGTATAGTTTATTAATTAAAAATAAGGAATACATACTCCATATTATTATTATTTGAAAGATTGTTTAATTATTTGGTTACAACTCATTACTCAAGATTTACTTAATAAAATTCAAGTCTAATATAAGTTAAGACATGAGAGAAAAACTTAAAAAAAAATAAACATTCCTATCTAATTTAAGGATAATGATAATAACTTATGTTATTATACGCATACGTTAATTCAAAAATTATCTATAATTAATAGTATTTA